TAAATCTGGGCGGGAAAGGTTGGGCTTCAGCTAGAGCTCTTGCTTCAATTGTTTTCATGTCAGTGGCCAACAGTGAGAGAGGTTCTACTGGGTAACTTCCAGATGTCAATGTGTGAATGAAGGAGCAGGATGTTAAATGTGTTCATGCTCAACAATTTTACCCTTAATCAAGAAGGGTAAAGAAAACCTTTCGTATAAAATACACCTTAAATTACCTGAAATATACAATATCTATCTGAAATATGCAATGCAATGAACAAGCACACAATGTAATGCAATGAAATGCAATACCTTCCTGAAACATTCAGGTTCAGAAAGTATTTGTTGCAGGGCTATTATATTGGATTGCATTACACAGTAGGCCTACAGGTGCACTAGTTATAGGTCACATTATCTTTAGATTACTTTATGTACACTCTATAACATAGTGCCACATGGACGTCTATTTAATGCCAGAAAATTACATGACAGGATTAATGTTAAAAAGTGAGAAGTAAACATTGTCCAATCATACACAATACTGCTGGTGTTGTGCGATTTGACAATTACATTGTAAAGGACCCGAGATGCATGGACTAAAGCAATTGGGTCACATCAACAGACACACTTTTTTTCCCCAGGCGCGCTTGCACATTGCAGCTATGTCACTGCAGACCCACGAGCTGCCGTGTGTTAACAATGAGAAATCTGCAGTGGCCTTTAGGCTGGTATTACAACAGATACTAAGAATTTAGTATGTTATTATAGGCAGGGTGGCAGGTTTGCGACCAAAGGAAACATTTGGCTTCAATCTCAACAACGTGTCGAAATTTTCATTCTGCCTTGTTCGCTGCCACCGACACCTGCAACATGTCAACAATGTCAAGTGACTAGTTGCAGGCCATGAGGCAAACAGGCCATGGTAACAACAAATACAAAAAGAATTCAGGATAGAAAATTTTAGATATAAAGGATATTGCTAGAGTGGATTATATAAGTGAGCATGCACAATCTGAACTAAGCAAGTTGTTTATAAGAAAGTAATCAACAACCAGAACACTGTTAAAGCTCCATGATGACACCAACTGCAGTTGACAGAAGATCTGTCACACAACTGTAAAGCCTCTACACGAGCAGCCGACACACAGAGAGACATGAGAATGCAATGCAAGCAAGTGAGAACATGAGAGGGGGAGATGGAGAAAGTCGGTGACAGTGTGTATGAGATGAGAGTTGAAACTGGACTCTGCACAGTGGCCTCCGGCTTCAATAAGCATCTCGCTGTTGATTTACTGCCCTCCCCCCCACCCCCACCCCTTTTATCCAGTTTGCTCCCTGGCTTGACGCACGGCTAACCGATGCTCGTCAGCTGTGGCTCACCCAGCTGCCTGCTGCATTACCAGTTAGCATGCCAAGTTAAATATAATGGCTCAGCGCTCTGTCACACAGAGATGGAGAGGTCCAGCTACTCTTGATGTCCACACCAAGGCAATACCACTCATTCCTCTGTTATATAAGCTTTTAACTTTGCCAGAGGGTGTGTGGTACATTAGCTTGCTATGATACTGACACAATGTAAAAACGGTATATATTTCTAATTTGCAAATATATTGCATAATACAGTATGGTTGATATTTACTGTATGTAGTCTTCATTTGTTATTTTATTCAACTAACAAAGTTTGAGATTATCAGAATTGCTTTTTGTGTTTTACAGATATAACCATCTTCCTGTAAGTGATGTTCTCGTCTTCATATCTATGTCATACAGACGTTTTGTTGTTAAGATTTATTTGTTTTATAGATTTACATATACATAGGTAGGCCTATTGTTTATTTTTCAAAATAGCATCTGGAAATGACTCTTTGTTCATTTAAGAAATGGGTGAAAATCACATTAAAAAGCGCAAACACAAAAATCTGTGTGAAAACTGGATTTCAACAAGCATATTTAGAGCACAAACACTTTGCAGTTTAACATTTTGTTATTATATCTTAGTCAGAGGAACATAATCAGCAGCTGACTTATCTGATTGCTTTTCCCTCTTATTTACCAGAAACGTTTTCTGAGTGGTCAGCCTGGCAAGAGGATCTCATTTACTGTGAACTGTAGTGATCGGTCTCTTCCTGCTGCAGGAAAAACAAACACTTTTGGATTAGTAGGGGGATGTGATCTAGATAAAATAATATTCTTTTTAAAAATTCTGGATGGTTTTTCAGTAAAAAATAGCTTAAAACGAATTAAAATGATGAGCCTTTTAACTTGATAATGATATATTACTCATTACAGTGAAATGGTGTAAATACAGGTGCCTTGATGTTAAAACTTCAAACTTCCAGTATGCCGAGCGAGTCCAGTCAAGATGGGACTAATCAACAGTCACAGTCAGTGGCTTCGGACATTTACTTGTTTATTTACTTGTTGATTTGCTGCATTTGTCTCTTGGTGCTCTTTTCTTGTAAACACAGCATTATCTTTAGTACTGTGTTGCTCTGTTATCTGTATCCTGTTTTCTCTCAAACTTCCCCTCAGTGATCACGGGAGTTTAAGGTTTCATCTAATCTAATTTGATCTATAGCGCTGGTATGTAAAATATAATACGTACACAGGTGAGACCCGGCTTTTTTTTCCACCTATGAACTCTTATCGGCTTGACTGTGGCATGCCTTTGAATTTTTGTGGGGTTTTGAGAACTCAGTGGCAAGTGACTACAAACCTCCATTCCACAGATGAGACAGTATACCAGAAACCCCGATGTCAAACACAACACCTGATAGCGGGGGATAGGTTTCTTACTGCATACCTCCACCAGGTGTACGCCTGCTTTAGGCTGCTTTTTGGGTGGGGGATGCCGAGTCAGGAATCAGGTAGAGAGCGTGTACTTATAGATAACCTCAGACTGCCCTCGAGATGATCATGTCAAAAGAAAGGACAGAAACACCTCAACACCTCCCCATCCAGATCAGACTTGATTTTAGAACCGATAAGCATTTTTCTAGGCTTGCCGAAAGAAAGGTGTGAGTGTGTACATGCATGTGTGTTTAGAAATGTTAAAGCACTTGACAACCTGGAATAAAATCTTGAGCTTGATCCTCCAGAAGATTAAATATTTGTCACTTGAAGGGAACCTTAATTTTGTGTTGATTCTGGCGGCCCCTGTGGACAGAAGTGGTGGTGTTTTCAGCACCTCGTTTTAACCGATTTCAAGGGAGAATCTGACTGAATCCGACCTGGTTGTACATTTGACGTGCAAGGCTGCTCCTTAAGTAGCAGTGCATCATGTTGCTGCCAGTGTTTATGTATGTTCTGGTGTGATTATCCTTCGGTCTTTAGATGAGGTTTGACTACCCTTGGGTCTCTTTTGAATTGGACCTTTCTTTGAAAATACATTTATGCAATTCGGGTTCAGGTAGGGTTCGAATGGGTCTGTTTTGGAATGGGTCAGACCTCTACTTCAAATCTAATGAAAAGAGTACAGACAGAAATTAAATAAACTACCAAAATGGCTCTAACTTCAGTGGATAGTGTGTTCATGAAAGCGTAGCGCATAGCTTTATATTAAGAAGCTGATTAAGAAAATATTGTCAAGATTAAAACACTTGCCTCTTGCACTGTCTCAGGCAGTGAAATGAAAGAACTCGTCACAGATTCTTCTGTTCTCACAAACATGTCACACAGTAAGCATGACTGGGACAACAATGAAATCTGTGTTTTCACAGCCTGCCAAGGCATGCTAGTGTCTGAATCCTTTAAAAACGGTTGTTTTCTGAGCCTGTCAGAAGACCAGCATGAAATTTCTATCATGTCCGTGACCCTTAAAGTCTAAATATACAGCGGGGATTTACATTCAAGGCAAAATATATACTGTAAAACTTCTGGGAATGTTTTTTTTTCTGTCAAATGGTATATAAACTATGACTCATGTTGAAGGTAAAAGACAAACATGATTTATCTGACAAAGAACAAGACAAAGATACAGAGAACCTCAAAACCTTTATATTATGCACCATAATGCAGTAAAGAATAAACAGCTCCAATCCTCCCAAACTTAATTTTGTTAAAAGGTGATGTACCCTTTTTTAAACTGGATTATTTTTCTTATGGTTTCTTAGTTATTTGTGTCCTGGAGAACGGTAGCACTTTCTCTGCTCGAGACAATGCGAATCACATGGCAGACGAATGCAGAGAGACAAAACTGTCACACAAAGAAGTGTTTGTACGATTACTCCCAGTCTGCTGCGAGATCACGAGGGCGCTCTGTGACACAGTACAGACACGGCACAGACATCATGGAAAAGCACCGTAACATTTCACTGCAGGGGAGGCTACAGTCGCAATCTCTCATGCGGGGGTCAGCAGTAGCCAAAAGGTATAAATGTAGGCTTCTGAATGCAAGATTGGCAGTTTGAATCCTTGGGCCGGGCACCATTTGCATTGGATTATTAAACTTGCTAAAAAATGAATTATTTCAACAGTCAGATTAAATCTTTATACTTTACTAAACAAAAATAACACTGCAAATTTTTTGAAAAAACGATTAAGAAGAGAATAAGAAAAACAACATTTGACTGAAGAAAATGCTTATGTTCACTTCATGAGTCACACGTACTAGTTTATTGGTTTGTAGATATGGCCTAATTTGTATGAGTTGTAGTTTCAAGAGACCTTTTGCTTGTTCCGGTGCAAAAGAAAATGTTGGTACTCAATGCTAATGTGGACGTGATGACAGAATAGGCTGAGCTATTCATTGTGGACGTCAAACTGCAGCAGTGAGTGAAAATCAAATGTTGAATGAAGATCTTAGCTCTTCAACAGCCTGTATAGAATTTATGATCCACACTATTTCTCATAAAGAAGTGGCACAGTCATCTTTAATTTCATAAATCTCGTTCTGGTGACAAGTATATTTCATATTACAGAAAGAAGAGGGCTTTTATATTTTATACTTCTGTGGCGGTCACTACTGGTTCATGTCGCTTTTCTTTTTCTGAATTAAATTAACCAAAGAAAGCGTAACTCACCTCTGCTCCGGAATATTTGTTGGTCCGAGTCACAAGATCATCAAGAGACACATTTTGGGCCACGGGCATGTTGCGGAACTGGAGAGAAAATATCTCACGTCTGGTTGGAGCATCTGGAAGAGGCACAAAGACGATTCGGTCAAGTCGACCTGGACGCATCAGAGCCTGTGAGACGGAAAAAAGACAGTCAGCCTCTGGTTTACTATCATATTTCACAGATTGGCACACGCATGTATGAAGTTAAAGCTTACACATCAATAATGAGCATCAATCAAATCCTATTTGGCTTGCTCAGGGTAACACATGTTAAATTCAAGTTCTTTCAACCTTTCAAACCTTTTCCAGAACATCTTTTGTACATGATTACTTTGGCATCGCAAAAATACTGTCAGGACGCTATGTCTCTGACCTTTGACCTCCTAACTGCTTGCTTGTTGGGGCGGAGATGTAGGAACTTAAGCTTTCTCTACTACTGCACTGACTGTACACCTCTTTAAACAAGACCATGAACCAAATGCCTAAAATGCAAACTGTGAAATGTAAGTTTTCCACTTCTAGCAGTCAGCGTGAAGACAATGTTGACGTTATCTGATAAAGCCTCCACTTCCTACAGATCACATCTCTGTGACCCCAAAACAGTCCTTGAGTACCCAAAGCTGCCGCTGTCTCGCTTGTCAGACGTCATTAAGTGGCAGGCGCCTCTCAAACACAGACAGGCAGACGGACAAATATGGCCTGTCTCCATTGGCTCTCCTCAGCCAGGCCGTGACAATCTGTGGTATGGTATGGTTTTGTTTGGTTTGGGTTGTGTATCCATTTAACCTGCCAGCTAGCCAACAAACAGTGGGATTTGTAAATAACAAAATGCATTTTACTCGCTGTGAATTAGCATTTAATTTCAGCGCTGGAATGAAGAATCAACAGAAAAACAAACATCAACTGGAACTGACAGTTTCATTGTTGTTCTTCTCCCAAGACTCAGTGAGGCCCGGTTGTAAAGACAGCGGAGCCCCTGGCTTTGGGCCAGACAGGCCACAGCAGGGCTAAACCCTGGCCAGCGGAGACGAGGCAGGAGACACACACAGACGCAAGCCATGCAGGAGGTCATGTCAGGAGTGATCAGTGAAGGTTGGAGGGACCAGACCAGCAGCCTTTGAACTCTTGTGTACATAGTCATCACACTGCTATTCCTGCTTCCCTGCATGCACCGCAGATCTCCCAAGGCTGACAGCCTCCTTGTTTCTTTTATATACATGGACTGTGAAACTGACATTCATAGACATTTGCAAAATGTCAACCTGTTGGCTCAATGGGTAAAACAGGACAATCTGCATAGGTTAAGATTTTTTTTGTGAAGGGTGGCATTAACAAAAGTACCAAAGAAATGCTGAAATGACAATTCTGAATTTTTTTATAAATAAAAAGTTAATTAATCAATAAAATGGCTGGCTGAAAATGCGAATATTTTCTGCTTTTTCTTATACCTAGATAAAGTGAATCTCTTTGGGTTCTGGACTGTTGATTAGACAAAACAAGCCATTTAAAGATGTCAACTTTGGCTCTTGGAAATTGTGATGGTTATTCTTAAGGTTTTCGGAGATTTAATAAACATAATTTTTAATTGATTAGTCAGAAATGTACTTGACAGTTGAAACAATAGTGAAAATGAGAAATGAAATGACATGAAAAGGACTTTGAGGGGAGACTGCTTTTTTAACTAGTTTTAAAGGTCATGAATTAACTTTAAACATCAACTTTAAGCCAACACAATTCCATGACAACTCTCTTAAAGATCATGTGATATAATCAAAAACAGCTACTAAATGGACCTTGATGTGAGATATTTCAGTCACCTGCTGTTTCCATGGTTGAGAATTAACATTGTGAGTTACAGCCCTTATACTCAAGGTAATACGACAGAAACCATCAAATGATCTTTGCCATGTTACCGTTTAAGTCCATCTGCTTGCAAAGTGTGCTGGATGCAATTTTAAGAGTTTTGCTTTACGGTTTCAATTCCCCTCTGGATAACCAATTCCCCTTTACTGGGGCGATGGACAGTTTTCCTGCCTTTTATCTGCTGCTTTTTTTGTGTTCCTGTGTATGTGTATGAACCATGAGGGGATGGAAACTGGAGACAAACATTAGTAGCTACCCTTAGGTAACCACAACAGAGCCATGGCTGACAAAGGAGCAATGGATCATGAGAGGAAATGTTCTTGTTTTTCAGGTCTCTGGATTCTTCCACTCGTTTGATGAGAGGGTCTGGCTGTGGATGATGAACCATCAGCATTAAAACGGATCGAGCGGAATAACGTCACTAGGATTCAAAGCGGAGAAAGTGTGGCTGTTGGAGAGACATGCTGAGAAATGGATGGATAGCAGGTTTGAGGTCTGCAGCATTAAATTAAAGTCATAAGGGCTTGAGACTTGGGGAACTTGATAAGATGCGTCTGGGAAAACAACTATAAAACAACACATGTGAGAGTTAGTTTGATGTCACGCTTCTTCCCACAGGTTAGTGAGGATGGTAGGTTTGTGTTTGTGCAGACGGTTAGAAGGGTGCAGTGGGGATTGCAGTCTGTGGTTGTTTGTCACAGCAGGTCTAGCCAGTCGCGGCAGCGCATTGCACTATGCAGAGGACGTGCCAGGGACACTTCCTGAGTTACTCTCCCTGGAAGTATCTGGCGGCTGCATGCCAACACAAACCTGCTGACCCCCGGCTAAATAACTCACACAGACTGACACTCCCATGCACACTGACAAACACATGCACAAACACAAGCATGCACATAAGCGCACAATTCCGGCTCTTCAGCTTGGTCTTTTTAAATTCCGGATCCATTTTTGTAGGGCAAAGACGCCGCCTGCTACTTTATCAGCCGTTAATTCTCTCTGCACAAATAATGGAGAAGTGCCTGTGGCTTCCAGGCGCTCAGGCTCCAAGGGTTCCTAGGCGCTCCCAAAAAGCAGAGCCGACCCTCAGCTTTGAGACTGCTAAACTCATCTGACTGCCCTGGAGGGAAAGAAAGGCTTTTTTTCCCTTTCCTCTCAGCAAGAGCAGGGGGCCCATCCATCACTTAACAAGATACACTTCCTGTTCTCAAGGATCCGGGGGTGGGGGTAGGAAGAGGAGGAGGAGGAGGGAACGGGGGGGACCCCGAGAGACAAATACTTGGCTTGGCATGTTGGGCAAGCGTTGACGGGCTCTTTTCGTAACGGCATCATTCCACCTGAAGTCTTGGCTCGACTGGCAGAAGGCAAGAGAAGAGGGAGGGAGGGCAGGGAGAGGAGAGGACAAAAACAGGCAGACCAAGGGACCCAGACAAGCCACTTGAAAGGACTACAGGACCAAAACCCTACAAACAAACACTGATAAGTGGCGTGGGAGAAAGAAAACCACCATCAAAAAACGCAGTTGCATAAATTTTGTTTTTCTATCACGAGACTGCATGACGGATAGCATCCACCTTGTTGCACCACTGACATGATAGGCATCATTACACATGAGCCATTAGTAATTAGAAACACCCCTAGGTAAGAAATACCAACTACCTTTAAGTCAACACTGAAGCATTTATACACCACTAAATCTGGGCGAGTGTGAACTGTGGATTACCCTGCAGAGGAAAATCGAGCACATTGCGATGGGGAGAAAGTTTTCTAAAAAACAAGTGGGGCCTACGCTGGATCAGTCAAGCTGATCAAAACACACAAAGAGAGAAAACAGAGAGACAGAGGAGAGAGAGAAAAAAAAACTCATCCGCTCTCTCTCCCTCGCCAAGTTTCACCGCCGATAACAACAGTAATCATTCCAGGCATTGCAATCCTCCTCAAGAAGTGATTACCCCCTAATGACAGACGACTTCCTATCTGCGAAGGCCGGTACCTCTCCCTAACCAGTGGGGAATGTTGAGAATCTTCTCCTTGGAGCGTTGTTGCTAAGCACATTCTTGGCCGGCTTCAATCTGACCTGCTCTGAGCTACGTCTACAAACTGTTTACATACGGACGCCCCCGCAATTCAGGTGTCTTATTCTTAGATGGAGGTTTAGACACGCTGCAGCTAAATCAAGATCAGATCTGCTTTGTTGCTCACACTCCCTTCAGATCAAATGAAAAATGAGAGGAAACACTGGGTCCATGATCCTGAACATGATGATTAAGTTCTTCCCTGCACATCTGGTGAAATCTCTCTTTTCTTTTAAAAACGTTTGGTGTTTTTTCCAGCGTGCAGGATGATAGCAGGCTGTCTGGCTGAATAAGTGGCTTGCCTGAGGAGACATCAGTTGACTTTGTTCCCTGCCCGAAGGCATTTGCTGTATGTGGTTTTCTAACCTGTCAGTCCGCAATCCTCAGAGGCCTTGGTGAGTCATAGTGACTCGGAGATGGGCCACCCTGGATTTATGCAGAACAAAAAAAGCAGAGAGCGTGATGGGAACCAAAAGCTCACAGAAAGGTCACAGAGGTATACTTCTGGAGTTCAAATTTGGGAAATGAATACAGTGTACTGACTGAATGCCAGCAAATGTTGGCTATCATCAAGTTAAAAACAACATTTTAGGTACTTTAGTTATTCTGTCAACTGCAACAGCTGTCTGCTTTGCTTTTAAATCAGTGAAAGTGGTAAGATTTGTGATGTGGCAGCCAATGAATGACATGGTTGTGCCCCGATGGATTTCACATTCTCTTTTGGGAGAAGCTCAATTTTAAAGACAGAAGTCTTAAATTACGTAACTTTTCTGCCGTAAAATAACAGCTTCACTATCAGTTTGATGGTACCTTTAAAACAGGGTGAATGGTGTCTGCAATTCCCACTCTGCGCTCTGTACGCCTGTTCTTGCACTATGTAACTTTGTTCTCCGAGTCGAAAGAAGTGCGAAATGCTTTATAGCGTCAGACACCACCAACTATGACACTGCTTTTGGTTAAACTGGATCATGTTTTATGGATGTAACTCTTTTCTGGTTTGCCTTCTGATGTCCAACTCTCAGTGATTTACAGAGTTTCCTGATGGACAGTAAAGTAACTACTGCAAAATGTAGCTGCTGTTAGCTTAGCCGCACTGTCTGGGACTGGGTGCTAAGAGCACCCGGGGGAGTGTTGGTGTTTACACTGGCAGCACAGGAGCTTTGGGCCGTGGCAGGAGGAAGTTTTTCAGGCATG